GTATAACGCAGTATAACTGATTTTGAAGGTTTCCCATCAGGAATTCTGGCAGCATCAACCCATTTTTGTTTCAATTTAAGATCTTGATCAAATCTTATGCAGCAATACCCTTCTTCATTAGAATTGGTGCAACTTGGAACACTGTATCTGATCTGGTAAGCATTTCGTAATATGCACAATACAGATATCTGGAATATAAAAATTCGTAATTTTATTTCACCTTTATATGTACAATGGATGAAGGCATATACTTTTAAGATTAATAATATGTACTCATGATTAATAATATGTATGTCACTTATAAAGACTTCATTAGTTGTAAAAAAAAAATAACGAACTGCGATTTTTTTCAACTTTTCTCTAATCTATTTTAATCAATTTCTGCATTCGGGAATGCCCTATGGAGTTTTGATGACTGCATCCAATCAGAGGAGATCGAGTCACGTGATGCAGTTTGCCACTCTCTATGAGACTCTCTAGGAATCGCTATCCATCTCTAGCAAAAAGAATATGTAGGGTGTATTCCGAACCGGATTAGTTTAGCTTATTTTTTTTCCTAGATGTTAGCAGCTCCATAATTAAACCGAAGTGTTCCGAACCTGTTACGTTTAACCAAGTATTGCTCAAGTATTGTAGGCAATAAATGTTGTTAGTAACAACAAAAAAAATGTATCATTTGGAAATTCGAGACCGCAATGAAAAAATGTATAATTTTCTGATGACAAAAAACGTTTATGATTTAGCGCATAATGATAAGCTCATATGAATATTAACGTAATATTGCAACACCCAAATTTTTATCATACTTAAAATTTTCAGATCTATCATATGCAGAAAAATTTTTGATAATGATAAAAACAAAAGTATCCTGCATTATTTCGAAACAAATCTGCAATAAATGACGAAACACACAATAAAAAAGTTAACAGATAGGTCAAATACTATTGAACTTTATGTGTCAAATAATATTTTTAGCAAACTAATAATGGTGAAACTCAGAATGTGTGACAAATCCTTTTCGCGTATTTTCTTACTTTCTATTATAAGTTTTTATTTCTATAGATCCACAGATTGGTGTATAGCTGTTCAATAAGTACAGTAAAGAAATACTCAAGCAAATATGTATCATTGCATAGGTACAAATGTTTCTAAAGATAGAGCTGAATGAAAATAGACAGTTTGATAATTATGATAAAAATGAAAATAATGAAAATATAATTATGTACATTACAGGTAAAAAAATGTATTATAATATGTTTTATAATTAAATAAAAATTTTTGTTAGGTGCTTCGAGACATCATTGGTCTACAGAGCAAACGAAATTGCTACTATTTCTGTTTCAATTAAGCAAAGAAAAAATTTCAATTAAGCACAATCGCCTTTGGAATGAAATATCAGTGCTCTTATTGCATCACAATGTAATACAAAAATGGATAGTTTAACAAAAGCTTATAAGAAATGTTGTGATCATAATCGCCAAACTGGAAACGCGCCAAAAAAAATTGAATATTATGTAAATACAATAAATATATAATAATTGTTATATTATTGACATTTTCATTTATTTCATTACATTTTTATTATTTAGATTTTATGTGAAATATTCGCTAAAATACCATGAATGCAGCCTTTGTTTGCTGTTGGATCCAACAAACCATTTGGGCATCATTTAGAGGAATCATCGTCTTCAGGTTAATGTTTTTCTTCTATTTAACAAAAATAAATAACTTACATTTTATACAAATATAATAAACTTTTCAGGAAGTTTAAAACGTGACAGCATAAATAAGGATGATTGACACAATTTTTGTAATTAAAAAAACAAAAGTTAGATTGACAAAAAATATAAAGAAGCCTAATTGGCAATTCTTAGAGATATTCAAAAAAAGCTGTAATTTAATTTAAAAGAAATATTTTATTTTATTTTTAAATATTTAATCGTTTTGTGACTAAACTTTGTTATTATATTCTTTGCCAATGATTTACGTTTACCAAAAAGCAATGATACTCATTTTAACATATAAGTATAATAAATATATTAAGAAATACATTTTTTTTTAGTTTGTATATATATATTTAATATAAATATATTAAGAAATATAATATAATTTTTCGCAATAAATTTATTACAGTTTTTTAATTTGGGAAATTTGGGGGGATTAATATTTCAGATTGATTGCGTTGAAAGTTCAACAACCATATCAATACATAATTATCATTTCTGAAATTAATTCATTTATATGAATATATATATATTAGTTCAACATCTCAACACTCAGATCGTAGTAGCACTTCGTATTTAAAGTAATGTTATTTAACATAAACGGTCTTTTCAATCTTATTGGATATTAAGAAATACATTTTTTTTTAGTTTGTAAACATATATTTAAAAGAAGTTATCGTTTTGTTGATATTTTACATAAAAAGATGTATCCTAAGCAAAATCAAATTATTTTTATATTAGCTAAGACAGTGTAATACATAGAATAAAAATAAAAATATGCTATTATACAAAATGCAATTATCAGTTAAATTTAGACAAGACAATTTTTTATTTGCTTTCTTTTGATAATTCCTTCTTGTTGTTGTTCTGGAGTAATAGTTAAAGGTCCAGCATCTTCAACAATCTCGTTTGGAAGAATAATCGGATATTCAATCTCATCTCTTTATATGAGACAAATATTATGGAGAATACAGCAAGCAATAATAGGGGATGAGGTCTGTCCTTCGCATCGGCAATTTGTCTAATAAATATTTCCATTGTCCTTTTAAAAGACCTATAGACTGTTCCACAAACATTCTGCTTCCAGATAGAGCATAATTATAATTGGTTTCGTCAGCTGTTAGATGTCCATTGTCTTTATATAGCCATAACAGATTTTTGCAGAGTATAAGCTGAATCGCCTATGAGGTGTTTATTATAAAAAAAATTGTCATTGTATTTTTATTGCAATCTAGAATATTTAAACACTTTCATATCATGCATTGATCCTGGCATTCCAGCGTAGCAGTGGATAAATTCTTTCTTTTTATCAAACAACTTATAAACAAGAGCAATATTGTATATTGTTTCTTAATAGAATCGATAAAATCTAATATTTTATAATGTATTATATACTTGTATAATGTATTATATACTGTATAGAGTGATGTCCTTTCCGGTTGATATAAGCAAGTACATTTTCTTTTGCTGCAATTGTAATATGTGTTCCATTCACAATTCCAATTACGTCAGGGAAATTATATTTTCTTTCTATATATCTACTTGTGATTTCTGTTTCTTCAAATGTCGGCCAATGAATAAAATAGTTCCAAAAATAACACAGAGCTTTTACTATTCTTTTTACAGCTTGCCAAGCTGTAGCATTTCCTACATCAAACTTGATTACAATAGATCTATATAAATAAAAATGATAAATAAATAATTATAAACAATTTATTGGCTATTCGAACAAAATCAAAATAAATTGGATAAAGGAGCATAAAAGCCAATTTATAAGATATATGTGCAAGTGTATGTTAAATAATTTCTTCGTGAATATACAAACAAGATGATGCAAACGAGTCGACCTTATATTAGGTCATCTTCAGAATTTATATAAATTTTTAAATATATAACAACGCTGGTAAAATCTGAATATAAAAATTAACATTGAGTTAGTTTATCGATTGTTCCTTTGTAGTATTAATGTTATCAAAATTAGAATAAAAAAATTTTTATATTGAGATTTTACTAGCGCCATTACATATTTAAAAATTTATAAAAACACTGAAGATGATCTAATATAAAATCGAAACATTTGCGTCATCTTGTTTGTATATATATATTTACGAAGAAATTATTTATCATACACTTGCACGTACATTTGGCGAATTGGCTTTTATGTTCCTTTATCCAATTTATAAGTAAATACTCGCTTGAAGTAGAAAAAGTTTATAAAAATATATAAGAATATATGTAAATATATATTTACCTATATGAATTAGGTGTTCCTAATATACATACAAAGCAATATACAATTCCTTTTTAGATGAAATAACAGGACCACTTTCCTCAGTTTGCAAATATGGTTTTAAAAAATTTAATAAAAAATAAAGTGTTGCGACTCATCCTGAAAATCATATGTAAGGTTAAAAGTAAAATAAGTAATTAGTTTACTACATGTTTATCGAAAATGTTGTTTAAATTCTTTATTATTATATGCATATTACTGTTTCAATAAAATATTTTATTCTCGGTATTTTTCGACGTATTTTACTTTCATCAAGAAATAGTTTTATATCTTCATCGTCACTCTCACTTGAACTAGAACTTGTGAAAACTGTCTCGAATATTATATTCGCTTTATTTATTCATTTTGCAAATTATATAATAATTATAAAAAGAAAATAAAAGCAAGCTCATAAGCTGCAACTCGGGAAAAAATTCATATGTATGAACATATGTTATATTGACCGTCGGGTTAGAACACTTTTCAGTTTAGTTACGGAGCTGCCAACATTTAAGAAAAAAAATTTTTTTTTAAGCAGCTAAACTAATCCGGTTCGAAACATCCATAATAAACAAACATAACATAAAAAAACACGATTAACGCTATCACCGCCGGCGAGTGGAATGACTTTCTAACAGGCCGCATGAACAAATATTAAATTGCAAGTCTCTAGAAGATAAAAAATTTAGTAACAAATTTTTTTCTACAAAAAATACAACTGTCAGAAATTCTATAAAACAAGTTCGATATTTTAATATCGAAGAATTCAAGATTTTCAAGAAAAATTTTTAACGAAGAATATTATGTAGTTCTGAAATCAAGTTTTTTTTATTTTTTTTCTGGTATTTGTTACAATAAATAATGATGGAAATTGACATCTCATCATTTTTGCGTTAGCATTTGGCTAAATACTCACGAATTTAAAAATCTATTGATAAAACATATTAATCTTCATGGTTGTTAGAATAAACCAAAAAATATTAAATTCATCAGTAAAACAATAAGTATAGCCTCAGGATATGATCATGTTTGTATTTATACAGGCAAGCATAGTGCTTACACTTTACATATGCGTATCTCTTTTAAAAGATACACGTGTATATATAAAATACATATACATACATATTATAATATACGTACACAAAAAATATTTACTTATCGAAAACTCATAAGTAACGCGAAAATATTAAATTAATAACAAATTCAATAGTATTTGAGGCTTCTGAGTAGTCGCTGGGATCATATTGAATCATAACATTATAAACAAAAAATAATGAAATAAACAAAAAATGAAGTTTTTTGTATGTTATTTGTATTTAAATAAAAAGATTTGGATAAAACAAAGTATGATCAAACAAAGTATCACTTTAAAACATTTGTGAAAATGGAAGAAAGCTTGTTTTATCTCTCTTGACATCACTGTAGATAGGTTGAGAGATTTTCTTTTAGAAGATTTGTCTTTCCACCGAAATTTTTTAGCAGTACAAAAATTAGAAGAATTTTTGAGAAATTCTTTTCAGAGGAAAATACAAAGAAATATTTAAATTACGCTAAAAAATCGCAATATATGGGAATAACTTTCAAACAGACTTGGCAATTAATACTGCTTGACAGTCAGCAAATAAGCGTAAGACACATATAATGAATAGGCTACGTATTGGTAAACGCATTTCTAATACCAAACATCCAAGAAAAACTAAAAATGATTCGCAAAAAAGAGAAAAAGTACGCGATCGTGAACAAACGCAGTATACCGGAATTCAAGCAAGGAGAACAAATATTATTCCGTGATGAGAAGCAGTGCTAGATACTAGCCACAATAGTTGACAAAACACCAGAACCACTCTCTTATATTATCAAAACAACAAATGGTAGACAACTAAGGAGAAACAGTTGGTTTTTGAAACTTTTAAAGAAGTCTATAATAAATTAGTTGATTTCACCTAGCATCGTAGAAGAAGGAGTAAAACAAATACCGAGTATTCCACATCGAAAAGAATAGAAACAGAATAGCCCGGATAGACACCCTTTGGAACAATCAGAGAAAGCAAATGACCCAGAACAAGTGTTAGTGCAAGAACAAGTGACTCCCAAGCAACACCTGTTCTCAAATCGCGTTATGGAAAGACAATCCGTCCTAAAAAACTTTTTGACTATTCAGTTTACAAAAGAAGGAGGATGACGGATGGCAATCCTGATTTACCATATGCATTCATAAGTTGCCACAGTAAAGTGTTTTTATTAACATAAAGTTGGCCATACTGAAACACACTATCATCGACAATAAACAACACGACACAACGTACTCTCGTTACTTACTTGTATCTAAACGATATAAATAAAGATATTCGCAAATAAAGTGAGCCTCTTTACAGATACCATTGTTCCTACATAGTCAGTTTTGATCCAAATTTCAAAACCAGTTCCTCTCCCAAAAGGATTTCATACATGCGCGTCTCTTTCTCTGTATTATCCAACATCTCTCGAGGGCTAATGTATTTCTCATGTTTAAAGTTTGGTCATATTAGTTCCGATGACAAAGAAACTCCCCGTTGCGCTAGATGCGGACAGAGCAAACATGATAAGATTGAGGATTGCCCCTATTTCAATCTTGCTCCCCTAACTGTGACCTAAAATACCTTCCTTCCAATAAATGTTCGATTTACATTAAACAAAGGCAGATTTATCAACATCGTGCAATAGAAAACGTACGCGGGAGTACGAGCAAAACTTGAAGCTACATCTTACACTTTCATTAATATTTTCCTCATTCAGAACAATTTCCCTCTCCTTCCTTCCTCTCTTTCTGCACATTCCCGTTCTCAAATCCAATTGCCTCGATCATATTAAGACGTCAGTCTCTATGAAATTTTGAAATTTATTTCCGAATTCGGATTACCATTGTACAGTGACATTGCACGGCCCCCACTAATCCACATCGCGGTGGACCTACTCTTCCGGGAAACCATTGTAACAATGCGCTCCGCAGAAATCTCACTGAATCCTCTGACCCTCCAACACCTCCCCCCCTCTCCTTCTCGTAAACCTAATCCTCAAGTTAATTCATTTGCTAAACAGAATATGCGAGACGCACAGCTCTATATTAATTGCCCAATAGCAGATAGCAGAATCCTTCTGCAAAAGAAGCAAAACCTCCTTTTCCCTACCTCTTCCAATTCCCCTTTTTCTTCTAATGTGCAGGAGCTATAGTCATTCGGATCTTACATTCTTTATTTGCACGCTTCCTGACTTCTTTAATAAACTTCTAGGTAACATTTCTTCCGCGCTATATGAATCATAGTTGGATATTGACCTTCATCAAATTCAGGAAATATTGAACAATTTCACTTGCAATTAATACAATAGTCACCATTTCCTCTCTTTCTATAAATCAAGGATCGTAGCATTTTTGTCGCATCTTTTTCTGGAACTGGCATTCTGGAGCTGAAAACAAAAAATCAGACATAGATAAAATGGCTGAGAATTACGATTACATCATTATACTTGCGGAAACATGCTTAAACCCCCACGGATTTGTATGCGCTTCGATTCTACATCACATGATATGAAGTATGTCTGTTCTCTCTCTCTCTCTCTCTCTCTCTCTCTCTCTCTCTCTCTCTCGCATACGTAATTCCATCTTGCATTCGAGCTTAAATAACATATTAAATTTGCTCCCCTCTATGGAGATCCTTACAATCTCTATCACCTTTAATGATTCAGACCTTGCTATTATTGATATTATCGACACCCCAATGTTTCCTCTCGACTCACTTTTCATTCAGGATCTTACTAATCAATGTTACTTATCGAAGACTTTAACGCCCATTATTCCCTATAGGAGAATATACCATCGTGATCCAACGCCTCTTGTCTAACTATAAGTGAATCGATTGAGTCTTTGTACTAATCTGCACAAACCCCCCTTCCTTCCCAACTTTATCTCATTCTCTCAGGGCCTCCTATAACCATCTTAGTCTTTGTTTCATCAAACATAGCTCCTATGCATATATTCACAAGGTCTCCTGGGAAGTGATCACTTCCTAATTATTGTCAATATTAACAGCCTAGTTAGATCGACTTCACATAAAATATGCCTTTCGCGCATACAATGGCAATGTGTTTCAGTGAAGCTTAGCGATCGACATCTATAACAAGACTTTATCCTCTACACAACCTCACTCCAGTAGAAAGACACAATATACTTACCAAGGAGCTTTTCTCCTGCTTCCCAAAATCTTTCCCGTCGAAGAACTCTAAATGAGTTAAATATTTTAATGAAGGAGGCTACTCGTTTCGGGGCCCTCCACCGGTTTCTTAGTGGATCCTACAATGCGACGAAGTTGTATACAAGTGTTTCCGCACTTTTTAAAATCTATAGGCAATTCCGTACCATTGAAAATTTAAGTGTATCGTGAAGCTGTGAGACAAGCAAAATGTACTCTTCGGAAAGAGGAGAGGGGAAAACGCAAAGATTGGAAAGCTTCCTGTAAAAGTCTCATTCATCTTACCCTCATCTTGGAGACGTGGAAGATGATTAAAAAATTTAAGAATCGCCGATTAGCACTTTCAAACTCGTCGGAAGGTGATAACATTTCTCATTCATTTTTAATGACACTCGGAGAATTATCGGAAATATATGCCCTGATTCTTGCTCTCCTCCTGCTTCTGATATTCCTACACATCCACAAGTTCCTTGCTTTGGTTAAACTCTCCCTTTTGATGCGGCAAGTTGCAGGCCGCTTTGAAATCGATCAAGGCTTCTTCTAGTCCAAATCCTAAACTATCTGCCTCGACCGCATAGACTATCAATTCCTTAAAACTTTCCCTAATGATCTTTTGACATGTCTCCTATCCATTTTTACCAACTCTTTCAAGCAATTACCTTTCCGGAACAGTTTCATTCGATCGTTCCTAATCCTTAAACTTCAGAGGAGTTACCATCCCAACATCTTCCTCACATCCTGTATACTTAAGATTATAGAGCGCTAATCCTCAATTATTCTGATTCTCGATTATACTGATTGGCGGAATTTCTCTCTTCCTCCATGTCACCTTTTTTTTCAAACAATCAGTTCGGATTTAGGAAATTCAGATCCTGCTAAGCAATTTAATAATTCTCACTACTAACATTCACACAGGCTTTATACATAAACTGGACATAGTAGCAATCTTATAGATATCAAATCCGCATTTGACAATGTACTGCCACATATTCTCCTGTACGACCTCATTGATCTGGATTTCCCTCCTCTCTTTATTAATTTCATTAAAAATCTTATTTTGTTTCGCACAATTCAATTTGTTATACAAGACTTTCTTTCGGATCCGCTCACATCTCGCCAGCTTATACACATTGGAGGCTTTACGTTCGGTTGAAATTTCATTGAACAGTATAGCGGCATTCTTAGCGAGCAGGGGTTTGGATATCTCCCCTAACAAAATTCAAATGATGATCTTCACGAAAAAAAAAGAATCTCTCCACGGAAAACTTGAGTATAGACTTTGCGGGTTATACCATTTGTCCTTCTCCCTCTGTTAAGTTTCTCCAAGTCATTCTAGATCCTAGACAAAAAATATTTGGGACATATCATTTCCAAAAGAAAGAGAACAACTCAAATCATTGTCGCTTTAAGGAGCACACAGTGGGGAGCCCACTCTAACTCCACCTCCATCTCACAATATACAGAGCATCCCAAAAATACGTGGTCAAATTTTAGTATCGTATTGTATTGTCCATAAGGAAAACCATAATGGAAAAACATGATAAACATATAAACACAGATCCGGAAACTCTTCTTTTTTGAGATATAAACATTTTTTATTTATCTCCAAAGTTTACATAAATAGAACAGAAATCATACGAAGTAAATGTTGTGATAGAGTAAGTGATACTGTTATCAAAGACAGTTTATTATAATAAATTAGTTTTTATCTATGTTGCATGATTAAGATAGTATTACCAAGATAATTTATTCAAATATTGAGGCAGCAGATATATTCGTTTAATATATGGATGAGCTAATAGAAACTTTAGAGAAGTTCAGAATCTGTATTGTGAAACACAAGGTAGTTATTTTCAGTAATTTCTTCAAGTAAATTACAAACCTTTAAAATATTCTTTCGTAAACAAATATTTTAAAAAGGAAGAATTTCCGGGTATATGTTTACATATATGACTTTTTCATCCTTAAGGACAGTAGAATACGATATCAAAGTTTGGCCACCTATTTCTGGGACTCCCTGTATAAATCTATGCTTAGATCATTATGGAATATGCCTCGTCAATATTCGCTCTCAAAGATAATAATTCTTTAAAAAAAACTCCAGCGTGTTCAAAACCACGACCTCTGTTACGATTATCATAACTCTCCAATCACAATCCGAATCAATGTGATGCATCCGGTCTTTCTCTCCTCAAACATCGATTTCAATATCTTGCAGCCATATACTTTATTAAAATTATATCGGTGGAGGATTATTCTGTAGTTACAAAAATGTTGCGACTCTGTTCCAGGATTCCTCTCCCTCCACCCCGCTTTTCATACTTTGGCATGTATTTTGGAATGCCCTTACATTTTTACAAATGTGATCCTTCAAAAGTCAAATGCACTTAGAATCTTCTCTCCTTACATTCCGTTTTTCATTCATTTCCTCCATAACCACCTTATCTTACTTCCTCCTCAGATCCTTAAGAAAATCGATTTTCTCCCGTGTCAGAATGCTCAGTGTGTATTTGAGAGCTTCTTTGGAGGTGTGATTAAACACTCTATGGTATTTTATACCAACAACTCTCAAAAGTTGATGATAATATTTATATTGGGACGGAGGTTACGTTCCACAGTTGAACCATTAGACGATGTACAGAATCTTCTCTTATGTCTCAATTTACACAGTGGAAGCATGGGCTATTTATAACGCTTTGCTTACTGCTTTAAATCTAGACCTAAAAAAAATATCCATAATTTCAGGTTCTAAAAGTGTGTTAGAAATGCACTGTGATATTCGAGGTAACGAAATCATTGACCAGCTAGCCAAAAGAGCTATCTGAGAAGGCATATAGACCAATTTTAAAGTTCCATGTTCTGACCTCTTTACTATTCCTAAATTTCAGCTAACTAACTCTTTTGAGAAATACGTAGAAAGATCATCCTAAATTAAAGGAGAATATTTTTTTAAGAATATTTACAATGGTAAAAAGAGGCCTTGATTCACTTCTCTCGCATATCCATTACTACACTTAATCGTAGCAATCACTTTAACTTGAACTGTAGCAATCACTTTAGCAATCACTTTAACTTGAACTCTTTCGGAAAAATATTATAGAAAACCTTTCCTACTGTGGCTTCTCCTCCCAGGATCTTCAACGCATAATATTTTATTGTCCTTCACTGCACATCACGCCTACCCCCTTTGTCATGCTCTGACTGAGAATAACAGCTCTATCAACCACGCTACAAGCACTGCTCAATCCTTTATAAAAAATTTACCGCTTATTTGTTAGCTTCAGTAAAGTCATCATCAGAACTTTTGATTTTTGTATTTACACAGTGCTTGCGTAGACGTTTCGACCCCTGAGCACGGACTTGTTTTAGCGGTCTGGTGATAGCAGCTCGTCCCTCCTGCCGTGAGAATTAGAGCCGTATGGATTTCATTTTATTTGGTGACTTAATGTCGCCAGCTGAGCCTGCCAACAATCAGAAGCTTCTATACACCTTTCTACGCATAGTGAGAAATCTAACGACGTGATATCGCCTTTGTACTCATGGAGACAGGAGACATAAACAAGAAGAAGATCTACTTAGAATCGAAAAGATAGCTTTATTCTATTTTTAGATGTTTTAAAGTGATTTTATTATTTTTTATCAAATTCTCTCTTTATTTACAAATGACATGCAAGAAACTTATTTCTCGCTTATGTCGTCACAATCTAATATGATCGCAGCAACTACTCAGGAGCCTTAATAATTGTTTATATGCGGACCACCTTTATCTCCATTCTTTTAGCTTCAATAGAAAATACACACATCGAAAAAGTTTTATATCGATTAAATTGCGTATTTATTCATGTGATACAAAGAAATAACGTCAATAACACTAACATTATGCGTTGGAAGAAATAAAGTGAACAGGTAAAGTTATATAAGAAAAACTATTTTTTATCATAACATAAAGAGAGAAATTCAAATTGAAAAGGGGGTGAGACGCAAAACTTTTTTCGATGAGTATATTAATAAGAATTAATTAATCGCAATAGCCAAAATGACAAATTTATTTTTTCTCTTTGAACGAAGAACACAATTCTTTAACAATCTAACGTTACAATCGTTATATCGTGGCAAGCAAATATCATTGTCGTCGAGATTATTCTGATTTATGATCACAAAGCGTGTGATCACGATGCGAAATAAAATACTAGCGTTTATTGCACGTAGCCTTTCGGT